TTTTCGGTGGATGGATCTTTTGAGAGATCCGTCTTTGCGTCTGATAAGGCACACATCAAGTAAAAGAGTACTTAGTTCAATTTCCTTTTTTATGGTGAATTGTAAAGAACGATGACAGTTTTTGAAAGCAAACAAGACGACATCCTGCGCTTCTGCACCTCCTCACACACACACAACTTCCTTCAAATATTGACTTTCAGCCGAAATCACTCAGTGATTTGCAATGAACTTCGATATGCATTCACCGCTAACAGCATATCAATTCTCTGTATATCAGTTAAATCTAGTCATTTCCACAGTAGAAACTGATGTATACGAGGTGATTGAAATAACTGGTTCATGTGACCATTGAGCAGTGAACAATTCTTCTCGCACTCATAATATGACACTGTTCAGTGGTTCACGATCATTGGCTCACTAATCACCCACTGCATGAGACTAGTCGGTGGACCACTCAGCTACTGAGCTGGTGGAATACAGTAGCCCATGAATCCTAACTTCTGTCACTACGCGATATACAGACACTAACAACCAATGTCGTCTATTAATGGACATGACATCTTGCACCCCACTGGTCACCATTTCATATTAAAGATTCACACACATGACACACACCACTGTATCCTGCATATACTGCATATACACATATATTTTAACAAAAGTAGACAAATTTTGAAAGTCTGAGGTCAAAAAGTTTTTGATCATAGTTCATACAATTTTTGTTTTGTTTTGATTAGTATACCTATTGATTCATATTTAAAAATAAGAGATGTACTTTTATATAAACATACAGTTCTATTTATTTAATTATTAATTTATTTATTATACATGTTGATACCTGTTGCATGACTCATGATTGGACAAAGTTTCAAAAACAAGAGATGTTCCTTCATATATAAACTTTGTTATGTTAATTTCGATTAATTTCCCTGATGAAGTTCGGACCTGATAGCCGAACGGAACGTTGGAATTAATCATTGCAATTTCGCTGAGATTTTACAGATATAACTTTATAAATGTCTACTTCTCACTCAGCGTTCAATTATTTTGCAACTATCCGGTCAAATCTTGATCACAGTTCGTATATATATATATATATATATACACTATTATAAATTATTGTTAGCCGAAAAATAGCGTCTTGTGATTGGTTGTTCTCACCCTGGAAGTTAATCTGTCATCTCTCTGTGACTATTTATTTATAGGTCATCCCATATAATACCGAATCGTATCCGCCAAATCAAAGTCTGTTCTCATTGCCTGTTGATTTAAATTTTCTCCTTATTCTTTTCTCATGACCAAGATTTGGGACGTTAACATTGACTTACGTAGATAACTGTCTCCTAATGTGGCTAGGACATAGCTCTCCCAGCATTAGTAGTAGTAGTAGTAGTAGTAGTAGTAGTAGTAGTAGTAGTAGTAGTAGTAGTAGTAGTAGTAGTAGTAGTAGTAGTAGTAGTAGTAGTAGTAGTAGTAGTAGTAGTAGTAGTAGTAGTAGTAGTAGTAGTAGTAGTAGTAGTAGTAGTAGTAGTAGTAGTAGTAGTAGTAGTAGTAGTAGTAGTAGTAGTAGTAGTAGTAGTAGTAGTAGTAGTAGTAGTAGTAGTAGTAGTAGTAGTAGTAGTAGTAGTAGTAGTAGTAGTAGTAGTAGTAGTAGTAGTAGTAGTAGTAGTAGTAGTAGTAGTAGTAGTAGTAGTAGTAGTAGTAGTAGTAGTAGTAGTAGTAGTAGTAGTAGTAGTAGTAGTAGTAGTAGTAGTAGTAGTAGTAGTAGTAGTAGTAGTAGTAGTAGTAGTAGTAGTAGTAGTAGTAGTAGTAGTAGTAGTAGTAGTAGTAGTAGTAGTAGTAGTAGTAGTAGTAGTAGTAGTAGTAGTAGTAGTAGTAGTAGTAGTAGTAGTAGTAGTAGTAGTAGTAGTAGTAGTAGTAGTAGTAGTAGTAGTAGTAGTAGTAGTAGTAGTAGTAGTAGTAGTAGTAGTAGTAGTAGTAGTAGTAGTAGTAGTAGTAGTAGTAGTAGTAGTAGTAGTAGTAGTAGTAGTAGTAGTAGTAGTAGTAGTAGTAGTAGTAGTAGTAGTAGTAGTAGTAGTAGTAGTAGTAGTAGTAGTAGTAGTAGTAGTAGTAGTAGTAGTAGTAGTAGTAGTAGTAGTAGTAGTAGTAGTAGTAGTAGTAGTAGTAGTAGTAGTAGTAGTAGTAGTAGTAGTAGTAGTAGTAGTAGTAGTAGTAGTAGTAGTAGTAGTAGTAGTAGTAGTAGTAGTAGTAGTAGTAGTAGTAGTAGTAGTAGTAGTAGTAGTAGTAGTAGTAGTAGTAGTAGTAGTAGTAGTAGTAGTAGTAGTAGTAGTAGTAGTAGTAGTAGTAGTAGTAGTAGTAGTAGTAGTAGTAGTAGTAGTAGTAGTAGTAGTAGTAGTAGTAGTAGTAGTAGTAGTAGTAGTAGTAGTAGTAGTAGTAGTAGTAGTAGTAGTAGTAGTAGTAGTAGTAGTAGTAGTAGTAGTAGTAGTAGTAGTAGTAGTAGTAGTAGTAGTAGTAGTAGTAGTAGTAGTAGTAGTAGTAGTAGTAGTAGTAGTAGTAGTAGTAGTAGTAGTAGTAGTAGTAGTAGTAGTAGTAGTAGTAGTAGTAGTAGTAGTAGTAGTAGTAGTAGTAGTAGTAGTAGTAGTAGTAGTAGTAGTAGTAGTAGTAGTAGTAGTAGTAGTAGTAGTAGTAGTAGTAGTAGTAGTAGTAGTAGTAGTAGTAGTAGTAGTAGTAGTAGTAGTAGTAGTAGTAGTAGTAGTAGTAGTAGTAGTAGTAGTAGTAGTAGTAGTAGTAGTAGTAGTAGTAGTAGTAGTAGTAGTAGTAGTAGTAGTAGTAGTAGTAGTAGTAGTAGTAGTAGTAGTAGTAGTAGTAGTAGTAGTAGTAGTAGTAGTAGTAGTAGTAGTAGTAGTAGTAGTAGTAGTAGTAGTAGTAGTAGTAGTAGTAGTAGTAGTAGTAGTAGTAGTAGTAGTAGTAGTAGTAGTAGTAGTAGTAGTAGTAGTAGTAGTAGTAGTAGTAGTAGTAGTAGTAGTAGTAGTAGTAGTAGTAGTAGTAGTAGTAGTAGTAGTAGTAGTAGTAGTAGTAGTAGTAGTAGTAGTAGTAGTAGTAGTAGTAGTAGTAGTAGTAGTAGTAGTAGTAGTAGTAGTAGTAGTAGTAGTAGTAGTAGTAGTAGTAGTAGTAGTAGTAGTAGTAGTAGTAGTAGTAGTAGTAGTAGTAGTAGTAGTAGTAGTAGTAGTAGTAGTAGTAGTAGTAGTAGTAGTAGTAGTAGTAGTAGTAGTAGTAGTAGTAGTAGTAGTAGTAGTAGTAGTAGTAGTAGTAGTAGTAGTAGTAGTAGTAGTAGTAGTAGTAGTAGTAGTAGTAGTAGTAGTAGTAGTAGTAGTAGTAGTAGTAGTAGTAGTAGTAGTAGTAGTAGTAGTAGTAGTAGTAGTAGTAGTAGTAGTAGTAGTAGTAGTAGTAGTAGTAGTAGTAGTAGTAGTAGTAGTAGTAGTAGTAGTAGTAGTAGTAGTAGTAGTAGAGTAGTAGTAGTAGTAGTAGTAGTAGTAGTAGTAGTAGTAGTAGTAGTAGTAGTAGTAGTAGTAGTAGTAGTAGTAGTAGTAGTAGTAGTAGTAGTAGTAGTAGTAGTAGTAGTAGTAGTAGTAGTAGTAGTAGTAGTAGTAGTAGTAGTAGTAGTAGTAGTAGTAGTAGTAGTAGTAGTAGTAGTAGTAGTAGTAGTAGTAGTAGTAGTAGTAGTAGTAGTAGTAGTAGTAGTAGTAGTAGTAGTAGTAGTAGTAGTAGTAGTAGTAGTAGTAGTAGTAGTAGTAGTAGTAGTAGTAGTAGTAGTAGTAGTAGTAGTAGTAGTAGTAGTAGTAGTAGTAGTAGTAGTAGTAGTAGTAGTAGTAGTAGTAGTAGTAGTAGTAGTAGTAGTAGTAGTAGTAGTAGTAGTAGTAGTAGTAGTAGTAGTAGTAGTAGTAGTAGTAGTAGTAGTAGTAGTAGTAGTAGTAGTAGTAGTAGTAGTAGTAGTAGTAGTAGTAGTAGTAGTAGTAGTAGTAGTAGTAGTAGTAGTAGTAGTAGTAGTAGTAGTAGTAGTAGTAGTAGTAGTAGTAGTAGTAGTAGTAGTAGTAGTAGTAGTAGTAGTAGTAGTAGTAGTAGTAGTAGTAGTAGTAGTAGTAGTAGTAGTAGTAGTAGTAGTAGTAGTAGTAGTAGTAGTAGTAGTAGTAGTAGTAGTAGTAGTAGTAGTAGTAGTAGTAGTAGTAGTAGTAGTAGTAGTAGTAGTAGTAGTAGTAGTAGTAGTAGTAGTAGTAGTAGTAGTAGTAGTAGTAGTAGTAGTAGTAGTAGTAGTAGTAGTAGTAGTAGTAGTAGTAGTAGTAGTAGTAGTAGTAGTAGTAGTAGTAGTAGTAGTAGTAGTAGTAGTAGTAGTAGTAGTAGTAGTAGTAGTAGTAGTAGTAGTAGTAGTAGTAGTAGTAGTAGTAGTAGTAGTAGTAGTAGTAGTAGTAGTAGTAGTAGTAGTAGTAGTAGTAGTAGTAGTAGTATAGTAGTAAGTAGTAGTAGTAGTAGTAGTAGTAGTAGTAGTAGTAGTAGTAGTAGTAGTAGTAGTAGTAGTAGTAGTAGTAGTAGTAGTAGTAGTAGTAGTAGTAGTAGTAGTAGTAGTAGTAGTAGTAGTAGTAGTAGTAGTAGTAGTAGTAGTAGTAGTAGTAGTAGTAGTAGTAGTAGTAGTAGTAGTAGTAGTAGTAGTAGTAGTAGTAGTAGTAGTAGTAGTAGTAGTAGTAGTAGTAGTAGTAGTAGTAGTAGTAGTAGTAGTAGTAGTAGTAGTAGTAGTAGTAGTAGTAGTAGTAGTAGTAGTAGTAGTAGTAGTAGTAGTAGTAGTAGTAGTAGTAGTAGTAGTAGTAGTAGTAGTAGTAGTAGTAGTAGTAGTAGTAGTAGTAGTAGTAGTAGTAGTAGTAGTAGTAGTAGTAGTAGTAGTAGTAGTAGTAGTAGTAGTAGTAGTAGTAGTAGTAGTAGTAGTAGTAGTAGTAGTAGTAGTAGTAGTAGTAGTAGTAGTAGTAGTAGTAGTATAGTAGTAGTAGTAGTAGTAGTAGTAGTAGTAGTAGTAGTAGTAGTAGTAT